ACAGGGGTACTTGGGCCCAAGTACTTGAGCCATCTTCTGCTGTTTTTCCAGGAGCATCAGCAGGGAGCTGGATCAGAATTGGGGCAGCTGGGAATCAAACCAGTGCCTATATGGGATTCTGGTGCTGCAGGCGGAGGCCCAGCTCATTACTCCATGGCGCTGGCCCCGGCATATCATTTTTAATAAGGATCTATTGATAGCAAACTCCAATTTTCTTTATATGAAAATCTGTAATGTTTTCTCCTTTTTTTTTTTCAAACTTGTTTTATTTTTCTCTTGAAGACAAACAGATGGAAATCTGACACCCATGGTTCTCCAGATGCCCACATAGCCAAGCCTGGGCCAGGCTAAAGCTAGGATCCAAGAACGCCCTCTGTATTTCCCACATGAGGGGCAGGGACACAATTACCTCAACCATTACCAATGCGCTCCAGGGCCTACATTACCAGAAAGCTGAAGTCAGGCCAAACTGCTGTTCAAACCCAGGCTCTCTAATGTGGGATTCAGTTAACCCAGAGTGTTAACTGCTAGATTGAACACCTGCCACCTCATTTAAAAAAAATGCACAATACCAAGTTATCAAAATTGCTTATAAGTTCTTCCCCTGCCCATCCGAAGCTGCCAAAGTTATCCTTCTAAGCTATATGTGTGATCATGCCACTCTACTGTGTGTATCAGCTCTTTTTTGGTTTCCCATCACCTGTGCGTGAAATTCCAAATTCAAAGGCTTTTTTTTTTTGCTCTGGACAAGTTGGTCATGTTGCTCCATGTGTACTTATCTCCTTTGCAGCTCATGCTGTACCTTGCGCTTTAGTTACGTTCAGTGCTTTGCCCTAATCGCGCCCCATTTTTCAGGTAGGTTAAGCGTTTCTGCATCTTGCTTGTACTTTTTTTGTGTTTGGACTGGGCATCGGAACTTAACTGTCAGTCTTAAACCTCACACAGTCCTGAAGGCTTGCCTTACTTTTCACCTTTGCTGTCAAGTCTTCCAGGCCTCCCAGGAGGTCGGCACTGAACTTAGTTATACATCTGTCTTCCATTAAGTTGAAGCTAGATCGCAGAATCACTCATGGAACTCCCATGAGTCCCCTGTGTGCCCATGTGTTATTCCCGTGAATATATTCAGTAGATCTGGGTCTGAGTTCCAGTTTCTGCTGCAGTGTCTCAATTAAGAAGCAGAGCTAATGTGCAATTCCTCTATGAAAGGTTGACTCTTTTTCTTCTCTTTTCCCCCAAATCTGCTCAGTGTGATGTAGAAAACCAGTAAACATCAAAGAATTTGCTTAGATTGGAAAGGAAGATAAGATTCAGCTTGAAGCAGGTATTGACTCATTTGAAAGCTTGTTGCGAGCATTACAGCTTTCAGGAGAGTGGGACATGAAAGTGGTGTTTTAAGATTAATCCAACAACTACCACTTCTCAGCCTTTTGGCTAAGATCAAGTGAAGATTAATCCAACAGTGATACGGCCAGAGTGTACAAAAGATGAAAATGAAAGAATAGTTCATGGCCAAGACAGTAATGGAGGTACTTTCTAAAGTGGTCTTGAATGAGGTAGAAGACTCAGGAAGAAAAGTTGTGAAGGAAAACGCTACAGACCTTGACAACTGAGAGAGAGGAACTGAAGTTGCAAAGCTTTGGTTGTGTGACAAGGCTACAGACCCCTGTACCTGTGGATGGTGTCACTTATTGTCATTTAGTTGTTCAACTGGGCAAAACCAAAGCTTTCCTGTGAGTGACAGAAAGACCTACTTACTCATGTTACTCATTATACCTGAGCATGGCTGTTTGGGGCTGAGATGGAGGGGAGTGATGGTAAGAGGAAGGCTCTATGCAGGCTGCTAGGTCACTTCTTGCTCAGTACATTCACTTCAGGGAGCCAGAGGTCACTTGCCGCTTGACCTCAGCCTGCCCCCCATATCTGCTGGAACCACTGCCCTGCTCAGCAGCTGACCTCGGGACGAGCCCTGCTGGTCAGATGTGGATTCACTAAGACAAGGACCAGCGGTGACTGTGTCCTTGCTCTCATTGTTCAACTAATACATGAGACTGAAGCAAAAGAGAGAGAGAACTAAAATCAGGAAATGTGAAAGAGAAGACAGGTTGGGAACACACCTGCCTCATATTTCTGCTTCTATCATGTTGGGTTTCCTGTCATTTTTTAGTGAATCTTGCTCTGTTCACTTGCAGGAAGTCAGTTCCATTATCCATGGGGCTGGCTTCTTCCTAGGGGCTAGCCTAGATCCTGGCCATCCGCTGACAGTGTGCACTGTTTACACACCCAAAAAGGAAACCCTGGGGTGGACAGGCATTCTCCTGGTGGGAGCGACCTTTCTGGACTCGCAGCCATGGCCTACTCTCAGACCTGCCTGCCTCTGTCCCATGCTCTCTTCCCAGGGAGGATGCATCCCTGCCCTTCCCCTTCAGAAGACTTTGCTGTCTCCACTGGACCTTGTGTAGACTCTGCCTTTGAATTCCCAGGGCACTAGCACTAGGGGAGCACTAACTCCTCCAGAGGTCGCTGACATCTTGAACTAGTGAAGAATATTGAACCAAAGTTTTCCCTTGTTCAGTGACAACTCTTCTGGGAAATTCTGGTTAGCTTCCTCCTGCTCCTTCAAGAGAGTAATTTATGCTAAGTCTAAATAGTATCGTTTGAGTTACAAGTACAGTAGCTTGAGAAAAAGGTGTATTCCGAGTGGTGTGTTAAGTTCCCATTCTGCAGCCACGCCATGCTCACCCACACCCAAATTCTAGATCCTTCCCTACAGCTGAGGCAGATCCACCAGGCACCCTCATGGCCCAGGGCGAGTTGGTATTTTACTACTGGTTGTTCCTGATGCTCCTGTGGGTGGAGAAGACTGGGGCCCTCAGCTCTCTGCTTTCCCCCAGGTGCTGAATCACTGAGTTAAGGAATGACTTTAAGCTGAGTCAGGGGGCAGGCATCTGCACAGCAGGAAGACTGCAGATAATCCCTTCTGGAGGCAGAGCCTGTCCCTCCTCCTTCTGGCTCCAGGGATAGAGCCATGACCCTGCATCCACCTTGTTGGGCTTGTCCCCAGCCACCGCGGACTGAGAGAGAGAGAGAGAGAGAAAGAGAGAGAGAGAGAGAGAGAGAGAGAGAGAGAGAATGAGAATGTGTGTGTTTCCCAGGTCCCTGTGAGGTATGTGAATTAATATACTGAGTCCATTAGGACTTTCACTATGCATTCCCTAGGTAGACAACCTTATACAAAATCTGGGTTTTGATTAGGTTTTCATATTATAAAATGAAACTTAAAACTTTAAACCACCTTACAAAAAAGGGCAGATGTGTGTTCAGCTTCTTGTGATTCCCTAACATACATTTGACCTGTACTAACTTGCCTAAAAAGTGAAGAGAAACGAGCTGTGGTGGGAAGTGGCATTAACCAAGGTGGTACGGAGGCTCGCATCTTGTGCCAGAGTGTCCGACCCTGGCTCCTGACCGCTCTTGGCTGTAATGCAGGAGGCCATCGTATGGCCCTGTGACCATGCGTCAGACTCGGGTTGTATTTCTGACTTCGTGCTTTGGCTAGAACCACTGCTAGCCCCGGTGATCATTCAGAAAGTCAGCTGACAAGTGAAAGCATGTTCAGTATGTGTGTGCCTCTGCCTCTCAGAGAAATACATAAATAAAAATAGATTTTACAGAGATGGCTGCGGTATTTCTCTGAGTTTTGCCACAGTAGTTTTTAGTTTCAAGTGACCAGTCCTGTTACAGGTGTTTAACACTAATGGAACTTTCTCCACAAATGTTTCTACTGTCTTTTTCTTTAACTAACAGAAGGCTTATTCCCATTAGTCCTTTGATCTTCTAGAAAGTTGTTAGTTGTTTTTGAAAGGTAGCGAGATCGAGGTCTCATCCTTTGGTTCCCTCCCCCAGATGCCCACAACAGTGAATACTGAGCCATGCCAAAGGCAGAAACCTGCAGTATGATCTAGGAATCCATGTGGGCAGCAGGGACCCAAGTGCCTGATCCATCCCCTGCTGTCTCCCAGCATGCACAGCAAGCGGCACTTGGATTGAATTCAGACACTTTGATATAGGCTGTGCCCTAGTGACATCATAACCACAGCACCAAGTGTCTGTCCAGGAGTGTTTTGTCGAATTTCCAGCTGAAGTGGTCAAAGGACTGTATGAACCTTAAAAGGGCTCATTTGATAAGGGTATCTTTTTCCTGGAAGTAAAAACATGACCTTCCTGATAATGTTGATTTCTATCTCACTTTTTATGTAGAAGTTGCAGTAGCTTTGGGTTGGCATTGTAGTACAGTGGGTTAAGCTGCCATGTGTGATGCTGGCAACCCATATGAGCACCTGCTGAAGTCTTAATTGCTACATTTCCCAATGAGCTGCTGATGCACCTGGCAGGTCAGAGAAGGCCCAAATACCTACATCCCTGCCACCCATGTGGGAGATCTGGTTAGAGTTCTAGCATCCAGGCTTTGGTCTGGTTCCACCTGACTATTACAGCCACTTGGGGAATGAACCAGTAGATATACAGTCTGTCTGTATTTCTGTCTCACTCTCTCTCTGTCATTCTGCCTTTAAAAAAGAGGAAGAACAAGAAGCTGCAGTAACATCAAGGTGTCCAAAACATCTTTAACTTTAGAAATGTTGACCCAGCTCCCACTGGTGGCTGCTCAGCCCTTGCTGGCTGACAGTAGCTCTGAACTTCAGTGAGCTGAGGAAGGAGCTGCCCTTCCCTGGTATCCGAAGCAGAAAAAGCAGGGCGAGCCAGAGCATGACTGTCTCCCCTTGCAGATGATTCTTTTATCTTCAGAGTGGGTGGTAGAAGGAAGGAGATGTAGACACCAGCACCCCATACAGATTGACTGAGGGTTCCTGAGTCCCCGGAGTCTCACGGTCAGGTCTGTGACTGCAGGGGACTCGGGCTCAAGCCAAGTCTCCTGAACTTGACAAGCTCTAAGACCTCTGACGTCATGCGCTCACAGAGTGTCATTCTTTTGCTTTCTCTAGAAGTCGTCGTCCTCCGCAGAATGGGCCCGTGGCTCGTTCCGGACCTCCTGTGAGCCACCAGGAGCTGAGGTTTCTGTAGGGATGCCTGTGGGCCAGCAGAAACCAGACTCCCCAGAGATGGACGCCGACCTGGCCCCCAGCTGTGGCCTCAGCGACTGCAGCAGAGGGGGCAGTTTGGAGAGTCGAAGCAGCAGCTCCCGGTCCCGAAGTTTCACTTTGGTGAGTGGTGTTTTCTTCCATGTTCTGCCATGCTGGGGCCTGTTGTTTTGCCCCGCCCCTCTCCTCTTTAAGGAACCTTGGACAGAACCCTTTGTGGTTATGCTTTAGAATACTTCTTTGTGAGATGGCAGTTTCATTTTTCATTCTCTTGAATTTTGCCCAAATGTGGAGCTTGATGCATAACAGAGTGAATTTTTAGCTGCAGCCATGGCCCAGGGAGCACAGGAGCACCCGCGGGTGCCATCACAGCCCACGCAGGGGCATCTGGGCCCTTCCTTCCATTCTATGACTGGAAGAAGAGAAGCACCCAGACAAAGACAACACTTTAAGACACATTGTTATGACTGTGAATGCTTTGGATCTCTTTCTTTCAGAACCCAGACCCTCCCCCATAGCTTTGGGAGTTTTACATAAAGTCTTTAGTTTTCAAATGAGAGGTGAATGTTTGCACTTTTCTCCCTCTAAGGACATGTGTCTTTCAGGTGAGGGAGGCCATTACGTTCAGAGGGGGAAGTGAGGAACAGAACTGACCTCTGGGCCCCTCTCAGGCCATCTTCTTCCGGCAGGAGCACCAGGTCCTTTCAGACACGCTGCCCTCTCAGGTCAGCCCCTGGTGTGTTATGCAGGGGTATTTAGTGATAGTGATAGGGTTTTACAGACTCCTGCCTGAATATTTTCTTAAACCATCATGGTAGTAAGTAATAAATATGGTTTGTTTGACTCACCGATAGAAAAATATAAATAGAATTACCTTAGGGTAATGATTTTCATTTGTAAAGGTAATATAAAATGTATTGCAAGAATACGCAGAGAGGGCACAGATTAATATTCTGGTGATTAATGGAATCTGTTTTCCAAAGCATTATTTAGGTTGTGGATCTAGATGAGGTAGAAGAATATTTTACAAGTTGGTGTGGTCAACTTAGGTACAACAGTCCTACCTTGTGCATGTGATGATGGGGTCATACTAAAAATGTTTATCAGATGACCATGGTATCTAAGGAAATGGTTGTAGTGAATTTGAAATCAGGATATTTTAATTATTTTCATGTGTTTCATATTGCTTTTCTTGTTGAACTTGAGGCATAGCTCTTAACATTTTTGCTAGAGAGCTAGCATAAAACTGACCCTTCTCTTCATGGGAAAAACCAAACATGGAAATGTTTTGAGTTTGGGGAAGGAACATTGCTAGGTTGTGTCTCCATTCTAATCCCATTGGGTCTATTCTGCATCGTGACTGCTTTTAACTGAATCCTGTGTGGTAAATCAGACTCATGTCCCCTAACAACAGATGGAACTTCATGGGCATGTACAAACTTGTCCACTGAGGCTTAGAATTATCTATCTGTTCTAATTTACCCTTCTATTTCTTCATGTATGTGTATGTGTGATTTATATATATGCTGAAATATGAAAGCAAAATTCTGTCATAGCAGTTGGGGAGACAGGCTCATGGTTGTGGTTCGTTAAGACAGAGCAGGTTGTTGTGTATTTGCACCGCCAGGCAACAGAGGGTAATTGGAGGTCAGCATGCAGGAGGTTCATCAGCAGTGTTTCTAGGATCAACAGCTCCAAGAGGAAGGGGACGCAAGATTGGACAGAGAAAGGGAAGGTGAGCTGTGAAATAGACCCAGCGAAGGCCTGCACTGGAGCTGGGATAGCCCTTCAGTTGTCCTGCACTGGCTAAAGCTGGAATTTCATGTCCAGTTGGTGATATTGTGTGTAAACTACCAAGGAGTGACCATGACAAATTAGTGTCTTTCAGCCAAGGCAAACCCCAAAAGAGGGCTTACAGCTTAGTGCTGTCTTCCAGCCACACAGCCCCAGCTAGGGGACTGGATCCTTCTTTCCCAGCTGGTGACCTGGATGGCAGTCACATACTGCTGCAAAGATTTAGGAGGAAAATGGAAAGAAACCTCTTGGAGAGATCTGAAGCAGGAAGGGTCCCTGAAAGAGACTGGAACTTCAAGAAACAAATCTGAATGCATGCATGGAGCATTCACATCCAATCAGCTCTTTCTAGAATGTAGAAAAATGGGCTATTGGGGCTGGCATAGTGGTTCAGCAGGCTAATCCTACACCTGCAAGTACCAGCATCTCATATGGGCACCAGTGTCCTGGCTGCTCCACTTCTGATCCAACTCCTTGCTTATGGCCTGAGAAAGCAGTGGAGGATGGCCCAAGTGCTTGGGCCCCTTCACCGACGTGAGAGACCCAGAAGAAGCACCTAGTTCCTAGCTTTGGATCTGCTTGGCTCTGGTTTTTGCGGTTGTTGCAGGAAGGGGCCAACAGATCGAAACCTGATACTTGAGCCTTCACTGCTGCCTCCCTGGGTCTCTGTTGGCAGGAAGCCCAAGTCAGTAGCTGCAGGTGGATCTCAAACCCCAGGCATTTGAAAATGCAACATGTGCATCTTGGCCACTAGGTCAAATATCTGCTTCTCAATACATTTTAAAGTCACTTTCTTCTTTTATTAACCATTCAGTGTCACCTGTTCAGATAATAAGTTCCAGGGCCCGGCATAGTAGCCTGGTGGCTAAAGTCCTCACTGGAACGCACCAGGATCCCATGTGGGTGCCGGTTTGAATCCTGTGGCCCTCCTTCCCATCCAGCTCCCTGCTTGTGGTCTGGGAAAGTAGTTGAGGACGGCCCAAAGCCCTGGGATCCTGCACCCATGTGGGAGACCCGGAAGAAGCTCCTGGCTTTGGATTGGCTCAGCTCTGGCCACTTAAAGTGAGGGTTTAGCCACTGAGCCATTGCAGCAGGCTGGGATCCCTGGTAATGTGCTTGGGCTAGCAGTGGAGGATGACCCGAGTGCCTGGGCCCCTGTCACCCTCATGAGAGCCTCTGATGGAGTTTCTGACTTCTGGCTTCAGCCAGACCTGCCCCTGGCCATTGTGGCCATTTGGGGAGTGAACCAACTTATGGAAGACATTTCCTTTTCTTTCCATCTCTGTAATTCTGCCTTTGAGATAATTGAATCTTTTAAAAACAAAGATCTGAGCATACTATACAAATGTTTAAAAAGGAAAAGATCTGGGCCCAGCACGGTGGCCTAGCGGCTAAAGTCCTCACCTCGAACGCGCCAGCATCCCATATGGGCGCCAGTTCTAATGGCAGCTCCACTTCCCATCCAGCTCCCTGCTTGTGGCCTGGGAAAGCAGTAGAGGATGGCCCAAAGCTTTGGGACCCTGCACCTGTGTGGGAGACCTGGAGGAAGTTCCTGGCTCCTGGCTCTGGATTGGCAAAGCACCAGCCGTTGCATTCACTTAGGGAGTGAATCATCGGATGGAAGATCTTCCTCTCTGTCTCTCCTCCTCTCTGTATATCTGACTTTGTAATAAAAATAAATAAATCTTTAAAAAGAAAAGAAAACATCTTACCAAATAGAAAAGAACCACAGAGTATTCTTTATGTTCAATGTGATTCCCCATAATGGGACTGACAGAATTAAGAAGTTGGTGAGCTACTTGGCAGAAAAGGATGATCTTACTTTCAGTGATCAAAGAAAAAAGCAATCTAGAAGCCCACCAGTAGGAGGAAGAGATGCAAAGAAAAGCATGGACAGTGGTGGAATTCCCCTCAGCTTGGAAACCTAAGCAGATTGTGGGGCAGAGAGGCTGTTCTTACTGTGTGGGTGCTGAGCCTTCCCTTCACGGTAAGGCCTTCGGAGAATGTGCCCCTTTCCTTACTCAGGAACTGAGGGTGATGAGTTCCTCCGGGGAAACCAGCATGGATGAGAAGCTGGTTAGGTCTCCAGCTGACCTTGGGAAGGATTTAGAGATGTGCATCAGCAGTGGCTGTCTGATGCTACCAAAGCAAGCTCTGGGTGTCAGGCAACCTGTGTTCTTGACCTCATCACTTGGACTGATGTCCCAACCCCTCTTCTCCCCTGTAACCTCCTAGGTGCCACTGCTGGGGCAAGGACTTTCCAGTGTCAGTAGTCTTGGCTTCTTGCTGGGAATGTGTTCCTCACCTCTGCCCTGCTCCTGGGCCTGCTGGAGCTCCCTGGAGAATCTGGTTTGGCTAGCTGGAGAGAGCAGGAAGCCGTCATTGCTTTAGTTCTTAAGGACTGTCCTGTGTCTGCCTCTATGGCAGTGGCTGGGGGCTATCCCAGGCATGCTTCTTGACTTGGGCAAAACCCGGGAAGCAACTCCTGAATGAGCTTTGGAGATTCAGTACACTGTCTTGGAGCTCCGCTCTCAACACACACCCCATCTTCTCCCTGTGCTAACCAGTGATGTGGCCTTGGAAGTCACAGCTGGGGTCAGAAGGTAACAGAAGCAGTGGCAGAGATTTTCCTCACAGTGAGGTTAGACTGAAGCTTGTGTAGCACACTGGGAACTTGTCAGGACGTTTACTGGTTTCATGGCAAGGAAAGCCTGGGAGGAGTGGACAGGGAGAGGCAGACTAGTCCGTCAGTGACGCTGTCCTCCTTCTAAGTCTGGCTTCATACCCCAGGATATATGCATAATGTATAATACTGTATAAATGTTTAAAAGGAAAACAGAAAAGAACCACAGAGGATAATCCAAAACCATCCCGAGGATCAAACAACTGGTTTAAAACACAGCTAAATAGCTTTCACAAAAACTAAATTCAGTAAAGTTTTAGTAAATACATGCTGTTTACAATAACTGATAAGTAATGGGCTAAGACTCAGTTTTCATGTTTTCAGAAACTCAGTACAGTGACAAGGCAGCCATGTGGAGAGGTGGGACACCGTGACGCCAGCTAATAAGGGGGTTGGGACATCTAGAATACTACATTCCTGAGCTGTTTGTTTTCTCTGTATGAGACACTGACCCAGGAACAGATAAGAGATCATGATTTGTTTAGCTAGTTTTAAGAAGTTCAAGGTTCTCAGGATGCATGCCCAACTGTAATCCCCTGAAACCATTACTCTTTAGTTCTGTAATCAAAGCTGGATGCAGATTCCTGGCACACTGGTTTGTTGATATCTCTCCTGCCAGAAGTACAGGTCTCAGTGAGCCGTAGAT